AAACTTATGGACGAAATCCAGCTTTCTAGCCCCCTATTTCGAGTAGTACTCCTGATGGTAATGACACAAGCTATTCGCCTTCATACTTTCTCTAAAGATTGGTGAAGCTATTAAAACTTTGCTCATAAACAAGATGATGCTTCTTATTTCATTCCTGAAATCAAAGAGATATATTTATTCATTTTATAATCTACTAAAGTTCCTATGGAAAGTTCATATTTGCAGTTTTGAGTTTTTGTTTAGTTTTTAATCTAAAAATCCCACAAATTTATACCTAAACAATTCTTATTTATGTATACATATATATATGTAAGTTGCCCTATCAGTTTGCTTATGGTAGTTCCTAAAAGCTAGGTCGTTTTCAAGCACAAGTTAATCAGGACGTGCATCCCTTTCAAAGATACCTTGAAAAGCTCACTAAGGGAATTACATATCCTAAATCACCATCTGTATGTTCTCTTCTTTAACTTGTTTTCTTCTTAGTTATGGATGGACAAATAATGCTAATCCTTGGCATACCGGAATGGAATTAACAGCAATTAAGTGCAGTTTATGCGATGGAACAACTCAAAATAATTACGAAATTTGTAAGACAAGTCATCAACATTATTATAACAAGTCCCATACATACATATATATATATATATATATATATATATATATAGAAGAGCTTGTCTTAGATTGGCCAATGATTGCGTATTTACACCTAACTAAATTTTAAGCATTCTTGGAACGTATATCCATCACATCAAACCTTTGCAGCGTAAAGCAATTTTTAATTAAAAATATATCCAAGTTGAAACAAAAGCTTCTAAAGCTATCGACGGAACCTCCATTTGTAAGCAAAGAGGGAATTAATTATCAATTAAGAAAATGAACAAGACGTTTTTGTGAGGCAAAACAGATATGCAAAAGCTCTGTAAGAGAACTTACCACCACTTTTGGAAAGCCCTAACAAGTTTTAGTCAATAATAATGAGATTTAATAGATTCTATTAAAGATCGAAAAAAGCTTCATCAGTCGACTCTTTGAGAGCAATGAGAAATGGGACATCATTGATTTCAACTTTACTTGACACATTCAGTATGAGTTAGGTGGAAGAGTTGTCCTCACAAACAGATAAAAGAGACAATTCTTCGTCCAGGACTCTTTATCTACTAATGTCTTATAAGACAATAATGAGATGGTCACCACTGTTTTGTCGACCTATGCTTTTCTCTTCATTCCAATCTAACTAACCTCTGTACTCCACGTATATATATTTATATAATATATATATATATGCACCAATAAATTACCATCTATGTTGCCAAGAATTTGCATTTCTCCAATACCCCATGTTAGAAAAGGAGGGAATTATACCAATACGATCTTACTATCAAAAGCGACCCAATTATTTATTACAGATCTAAGCCTAAATGCTTGATCAGCTGACCTAATTAAATAACTCAAGCACACTAAGTTAGAGCCCGTTTGGCACACCCAGGTGGTACAATGGGGCCTTCCCACCCCCTTAATTGTGGGGGCCAACTAGTGCTTCAGTCTTAATCTAGTGGTACGTAGGTACGTAAAAAATTCCAAGTATTTGGTGAAGAAATATAAGAACATTAACTGGTGTTTCAGAAAAACTAAGAATACTAATGAATTCTAAATGCACCTTCTTTGGAAGGCATGCATCGGCCACTGTGTTTCGAGGGAAATAGCAACCCCGATGGGGTACCTCCGGCTTCACTGTGTGGCAGCAAGCATCAAAAGGGCAGTAATAAGAAATAAGGCATTGATGGTGGCATTAGGACAAAACATTGATGAAAGGGTGCTTGGAAAGACATGCATATAAATACATTGCAACTCACTCACAACCAGTAATTGAATACTGTAAGCACTACTACCTTGTATTTTTCCATTTTTCACATCTAGCTCAGTAACTTGGCTAGGGCTTCTCACCGACCAACAAGGTATGGAGGAAAGGCCATTTTACCCCAGATAATCCACTCATCCAACATGCAAGAAAGGGGCAAATTGGACCACTCAACATGGGGTGGTGCCTTTCATTTTTAGTATTATTATTTATTTTCCTCATGAGAAATCAAAGGGCACCCAGTAAAAAACAGGGTGAACAGTGTTACATCAACCCCAACTATCTAGGGTCCCACAAGTAAATGCAGAAGAGGGGGCATGTGATGAGCAAGGATGATAAAAAGAGGCATACAATAAAGACGGTTGAGGAGTACACACATTATCATTAGGACCACTTTTCTCCCTTACTCTATTTTTATACCAGAGAGAGAGACCAGTGGAATTTAAGAAACATCGGCCCACACCCCTATAAAGTTTGGAAACGAGGTTGACAGTTTATACAGTAGCCCACCTTATGCTAACCTGCGCTAGTAGGTGCAAACTGCAAAACCTCACACAATATTAACACAGAGAAGAGAGCCTTTCATAGTCTCCATTGGGTGGAAGCGGGAGAGATGAAGGTTCGCTAAGCACTTTGCAATAAATGCCACCAAACTTGTAGGCCATGTGGGAGGATCCATTGGCTGTGTTCGGCTACCTCTGTACCTGTGAGGGTGCCTTTGAAGATAGATAAGTTTTCAATATCTAAGTCACATCTTCACACATTTAATAGTATCTGATAATACGATAACAAACATGTTTTCTGATATCTTATTGCTTTCAGCAATACCTATATAGTTGGATAATTTTCAACCTATTCATTGGTTTTTTTAAACATAAATGAGGACACTTCTGTTTCTTATTTCTTAAGATACTCACCCTTTCCACAAGGAATGAGATTCTCAGTCAAAAGGGATGATGTGAGCCTTCATATATGATATTTACCTGCAAAAACGAACCAACTAAAGAGATGCAAGATGCGCACAAAAATCATTAGCATTCCTTCAAAATCTCCTAATGCAAACACACTTTTAATTTCCCCTCAATTCCTACTTTTTTATTCTTTTTTTTTTTTTGCTTACCTTTGCTTTACTTCTCCTCAACACTGTTTCTAAACATCCAATTCCGCATATGGTATGATACCATAAATTGATTAGGAACCATGTTTTTCTGTAACTGTTAAACTGTCAAGTTTGACCCAATAAAGGTAGCATCTAATTCATATATTGCACAAGTTTCAGTCAATTAGCCTGGAATGCGGCATAAAGGGCAATACATAACCAAGTATTGTAATCAAACATCATAATGAATTAACAGAAACCCAGACCTATCTGACATTGCAAGGGCCTCCAACTATCATTAATGAACTTGTTCCAAGGCAAATACCTAACCTTAAGTAATCATAATAAACGCTCAAACCAGCCATAACTATTGCTGATTGTAATAATATCTGAACCAATTAAACTTGCACTTGCTTCTACAACAGAAAAAGCCCCACACATATTATTGTCACAATGGGAAATAAGCAGCAAAGAGATGTTTAAACAGGTCGAATCTGGCTCACCTGAATTTTGACACTTTCCCCTCTTAATTTTATTAAATAGGAAGTGCTTTTAGCCCAGCCTCTTCAAATTTACTGAACTTGGGAAAATAACGTACACCACTTACCTTTTCTAGGGCAATGACCAGAACTTCATACTCATATATATATATTTTTTTGCTTAGCACTTCATACTCATATATGTGTATGCCTAACAAGATGGGGCCTACAGATCCCTACTTGATTCGCCTCTGCATAAATATGGTCTGTCTAATACCAATGTATTATTATCTAAAATATTTTGAGCCTCCAGGAACCACTTTATCTAAAAAATAAATAAATCTAAATCTAACACAAGAACAAGACCTAGTAAATTGCCATCACTCTACTCAAAAAGGTTTAAATGCAGAAACACTACAACAAAACTAAGTCCAGACAACTCATTGAATCTGGTCTGATCCACTGCCAAAACATGTTGCTGGGCAGCAGGGCACTAATAAATTTTTTTTTTCCGTTTCTGCATCATTTTTTGTTGCACAACTGATAGAAGTAACTGCAAGTTTTCTGTAAGGACTAGATGCATTTATAAGATGACTACTATGCAAATTAAGTAATAGCTATATCTTACACATTTATTTACCATGCACCCCTGATAATTCCTATGCTTATCTAAGCATCTTCTGTGCAACCCTGATAAACTTATTATACTATGCAGCCCTGATAATACAAGCTTATTCATGCATCAACTCTGCATTTAAATATGGCAGTTGCTGTTTGTACCAATGGACAAGGCAACTGGCATCGACATAGACTTCTTCACAGTATAGTTCCCATAGTTCTCAAATTTAATAAAAAATGGTACACTATTCCAAGGCATCCAGGTCATAGTAAAAAATCAACTATATGCTTATAATTTCAAAAGAAATTTGTAAGCTTTCAGAGTTAGAAAACTTGAGATACAACAATGTTAACAGCTTTAGTATCATATCTATATTTTTGACAGAAAAATCAGGACACAAAACTGAAAAAATTTTCCTACGAAATGATGAAAGTCTTCAACATGGTTAGCAAATTCTAGTGATACAGCCAGTGACAACTGATCCTGACATTGCATTATCAACACAACCCTGAAATTTTCCACCATGAAGGCAACAGAATTGAGTTGTTTATATCAATGACCAATCTAGCCAAACATGAGCTTAACAATACCCCCGATTAGCCAAGTTTTATGAATTTGCAAAATTACAGCTAAAATCAGTATGAGATTCACCCACATCTGATAAACCATGTTTGTTTTTCAGAGCAGATTTTCTCAAATCTATCTTAAAACAAATGTCGTCATTGTAGGAATAACATACCACCACACAATGGAAGTGACGGCATCTAGTGAGTTCTTCAATAAGATATCAAGAAAGAGTTCTAGATTTTGCTTTGGTCAATGATATGAATACACCAGGTTAATTCCTCAAGATAAGAAGTCAGTATGATGTAATTAGGATGTCACCCCTCATCAGTAACCTTGCAAAAAAAAAATACCCGACAATGCAACCAATACACACACCAATAAGAATATAGCAACACTGTTATATATTAACTTTAAAAGGATACAAAAATGTCACACTTATGGGAAATTGAAGAAAAGAAATTAAAATAAAAACAAAAAAGCAAAATTCTATCCAAAAGTTCTATGCACATAGGTATTATATTGATTAGAAAACAGATGAAAGTAGATTCTTTATAAGTGCACCAGCAAGAAGTCATCTTAGCCTCTCTTGTTGGCTCCGAGTAGTGTAGGTCTTCTCAACGTGTCGAGTGAGGAGTGAAATTCCATAATGTGAGGCACTTGAGGCAGCATAATAGGAAGTCACAGTGAGTTGAGCAAACTTTGGAAGTGCATAACCTACAAATTCACATATCAACAGCAAATTACACACTAAATAGGCCACACAAGCAAACAGTGGAAAATCATGAAAAATACATTCTAGTTCTCATGATTGGCACTGATCTAGGGTAGTCATTGCGAGTGAAATGCACTTTTAAACCCAGTCTTATGCATAACCTGCCTAGATCGTCAAATTGAGTCACTGCAAAAGAAACATTAAGTCCCTTAACCACAAGACATGAAGCTCAGGCCAAGGAGCCTCGTCCTCTCAGATTTCAAGAGAACAGAAATAAATAAGTAGGGTGGCTCTTTCAGGCAAGAATAAATGAGTTGTCAAAAATCTTAAAGGTAAAAATAGGACAAGGCTAGAATGGTTCCAGGAAACTGCAAGACACCAGTCACTAAATACTTCAACTGACAATAGCAGCCCACTGCTTCTTTAGCTTTTTAACTAAATGATTAATCCAATGACACAGTGAATTCATAGACAAATATTAAAAAACTTACCAAACATGGCATGTTCTACTTAAGGGCATGCTTGCAAGGGACGTGCGCTGGTTAAAAGTGGGATTGCATAGCAGAGCAACGCGTAAAAGAGAAAATGTGATTTAAATACTACCAGTGTACTTGAATGATTACCAATTATATAAATTATATGAGAAAGGAATAGAAAAAGCTACATATGAATCTAAACTTCGCCAACTGCACAGGAGTCTGGATATATATTCTATCAATTGACAAATCCTATTTTTCTTGAAAGCCCTGATGGTACTTTTTTCTAAATGTCCTTTTGAGTCAGTCTCATAATAATTGGAGTAAACAAGATATTACTCCCTAAACCTAGAAGTGGAAGGGACTGTCCTTTGCCAAATAAAGGGGAAGGGGACTTGCCAACTGCACAGTAGCCTTTAAGATGTACTCTTATAAGTCAACATCACAATCCAAGGCAAAAATTTATTCAGACAGGCAACAAATTCAGTGACAGAAGTAGGCTATGAAGTCATTAGAGGCTACTATTTCACAATAAAGTTTTCAAGATGTCAGTACAAGACAGTAGCCTAGATGCCAATCGCCCTATGCAGTAGCATTTTATGAGCACAAGGCACCATACCGGATACATGTATCATGTACTACATTGTCGTTTCCAAAAATCTGAGACTACTAAAATTTGCTTGAAAAATCAGTCACAATATTAAGCCAAAAATTAAGAAGTTCCATCACCTCATATGCGTGTTCCTAAGCAGCATGCACCAAGTTAAGCGGAAAATAAGCAGCTCTTCACCAGAAGAAATTTATAGCTAACACATAGCAGCTCTCATCATGAGACAACCCAAGCAATGAAGATTACTAAATCTACCTTACATAGAGAGAGGAAGTCAAAGGACCATATGTCATTAAAGTACACCGATGATAAATAGAAATTTTTCAGTGACCCTGAAAAATATTGTCACCTAACTTCCTTTCTGAACTTTTTACCCTAGTTATCATGTCATACAATGTCAAAATTTAAAACTGACATCCACCTATGGAAAATTAAAAAAATCTAGCTTCATGGTGCAAATGATCGGCATTCGACCTTGAATGGTAATCCAGCCCAGAATCAAGTAAACCACATAGAAAACATTCACCCAGTAGCTTTAATAAAGGCAAAAAACCACCAAACTTTGTTTGGGGTGGAGTATTTGATTCTCCATTATGATGAGAATGTTTTACTACTGAACCCTCACTCCATGTGATTCCATTCCTCAAAAGCTTTAATTTCCTCCATTTAGTTATACCATTCATTTTGCAACCAAAAACCAGTTAATAACTTCAATTCAAGAAAAGATCCCACCATAACAGACCAAAAAGTTTATTGCAATACACCATTCCTCACCTACTTGCCAATGTTATTCCACTTGATCCCTGATATGTAGGACAACCAAACACAAGCACCACCTCCACCTCAAAAGTGAAGATAGTTTTTCTAAACAGACATTTACAAATATTTTCTCACTACTAAAAAGATGCAGAGGGAATTGAACATGCATCTTTTGAGACCCAAAAAGACTCAAGTTTGACAAGATGGGAGAATTCTTGTAAAAAATATTTCTAAATATGGTTACTGGAAATGAAAAAATTTTCATCCTCTAAATATTTCTATATTTCTAAATATGGTTAAATTTCTTTGGTTTTTCCTTCTGTTGTTGTCCTTTCCTACTTTGGCAGAAGGCAAAAACGTGAGCATGCAACAGATGGAACTCCATAGTGCAATGTCCTTTCCTAAATAAGCATGCACCATAAAACTCTCACATTACTTACAGCAGATAGTGCAATGCAAATTGAACAAACTATATAATCTTACATGTGCTAAACATTCAACAATAGGAACCAACATTCACTAAATTAGAGGACTCCATAAAGAATATGAGGTCCTTTTTTAGAAACCTCGATATCACTTTTAATTGAGGGCTGCAGCAGATACCTGCAAATGATCAAGGTCAAATAAATGCTGGGATACACTAAAAACCAAGCTCAGGTCAAACAAGAAAGAAGTTTGTACAATTTAGATCAAGCTTTCTTATCCACTATCATCTTATAACTACTTTACATCTAGAGTAAAAGGGCATCTTATACCTCCAAATGCTGCACTGGCACCTGAAAACATTAGCAGCAGAGGAATCTGTCGACAAAGAAGAGAATAGTGCTCAATTAAGTTTACGATATACAAATAAAAGCACTCTACCAGCTGTGTAAAAGGGGAAACTGTGTTTGAGAATTGTCGCAGATTGAACGGATTGGAAATGAAATTTAGGATATAAAAGAGGTATACCCCAGTTACAAAAGGGAGCCACTTTGGTCCCTTAATGCGACTTTGAAGGAAAGGGATCCCTGAAAATAGAAAATCATAAGAGATGTGCATGCAAAAGCTGATATCTTATGAAGACAAAGGAGTCCAATAACACCTGTATTGAAACCATGTACAGCACTAAGCATTCCCCCAATACCAGAGCCAGCCTATTTGCAAACAAATACAGATAAGTAAAATCAGCTAAGATGTAAAGGCAATCAACCAAAAACTTAAATAAAATTAGTTTTAGGAAAAGGTAAACAAACCATATGCACACACAACTTGATAATCATCAATCTTTTTGCAGATTAAGTGAACAAACAGTCCACGATAAAATGATTATCTTTTTATGATTATGGTCCACACTGTGATGATCTAGAGACTAGAGGCAAGAAGCAGCTTGAATAGACTAGAATGAAAATAACCATATTTTTGCCCACCTCTAAAAATATAGATCTTTAAAAAAGGGACATTGCTACAAATTTCCAATTGATATACATACTTTGTAATTATGAATAGACTTAAAGGGTTCCACCATAACAAGACCAAAATTATTGATAATGATATCTAGAAGATAGCAATAGAATAATTTGAATACAGAAACATAAATTTTATTTTCAAATCTCAAAAGGCATGTCCCAACATGCATAAGTTCCAACCACTTGTCCCTTTTTTTTTCTTTTGATGCATCTAAAAGACCAGTGTGCTTGAGCTACACAATGGAAGGTAGCCCTCTCACCTCCCATAAACCCCAAACCCACCCACTCCAAGATTGGAACCTGAAGCCTCATATATTTAACACTTAAGTTGAAACCATTGAAGTTTCTCCTTATCCTCTGTTTTCATAAATTCTGGCTATATTCCTATAAGATATAAAATTTAAAGCATACTAAAACTTTCTAACTAGACTTAGCTTGGCAATAATAGTTCTCGAATCCCAGCTAAAAATTTACAACTTCCACCAAAGACAAAGAACCAACAACCTTCTAAAGACCCAGAACGACCAATTACACTGTCAAGCAGACCTAGGCTACAATTAGAACATTGGGTCTGTTTTTTTTTTTTCCTTTTTAAGTTAAACAGAAAAAAAATACCAAAGAAATGAGGATGATAAAAAGAATGAGAGAAGGAAACTGACCACGGCAGTTGCGTCATGTAAAACCGAAGTAATGGTCCATTCGGCTTTGTCCTAAAACAAAGGGTAAACAGAAATCAAAGTCAAAACCTTGAGTTATAAAACAAAGAGGAAAAAAAAAAAAGAGAAAAAAGAGAGATGTGAAGGGTTTACAGAATCAGGGTTTAAGAGAGAGAGACAACGAGGGCAACGAGCGGAACCTAAGCCAGGGTTGATGGTTGGATCATGGTAGAGATTCCCATTCCTTAGTTTTTCCTCGTATACCTCTCTTGTCCCCATGCTTTCAAACTCCTGAAACCTTTCTCTTAAAATCTGATTTCTGTCCGGTCTTCTGCTCAGAAACACAGAAAAGATGCCTGGGATCCTTGTCTTGTGTTGTGTCGTGCGTTGAATGGGGAAACTAAAGCCATTTGGAATGTATGCTTTAATTGGATCTCCTTGGCCCAATTACTTGATCATATAATCAGCCCAGTTCAACAAAAATGACTCAAAGTCTTTATTTTACGGAATGGGCTGCATGGGTAGACCCAATCAACAGAACCCTAGGCCAGGCAAGTTTGAAATGTCATCTTCATCAGTGGCTTACGTACATAACATCAATCATGGTCAAAAACGGAGACCAGTCAATTTTGCTTAGTGACGTGATTGGGTGTGAAGAAAAGCCGCCAGCTTAACTTGCTCCATTGCTTTTCACATAATTCTCTATATATATTATTTTACAACTTTCAAAGTTAGGCACAACTAAACCAATTTGTCCAAGTCAATGTCGACATTCTATAGTTTATTTTACTATACCTAGATATTGGGCAGCCCAACCAAACTAATCTCGTTGGAATTTTCATATAATTTACTAGTATAAAATTTGAAAAGTTAGGGGCTTCGAACCAACTTAGATTTGTCTTTGGTAATTCTACACCCTCAATAATGGCGAAGTTCCTCCTACAACACTCCTTCACCATCTCCTTCCTCCTCATAATTCTCTCATTCTTCTCAACCTTCGCCACCATTGAATTCAAGCATTTCTCGAGAAGCCTATCCCCATCATCGCTAGGGCTCAAGCGAGAGAAACTTAGCCACCTCCACTTCTACTTCCATGACATAGTCACTGCCAAAAACCCTACCGCCATGCGTGTGGCCCAAGCAGACACCACAAGCGCCTCCTCACCATTTGGTGCGTTGGTGATGATAGATGACCCTTTGACGGTCGACCCCGATATCAACTCCAAACCCGTTGGGAAAGCACAAGGGATTTATGCATTAGCCTCGCAAAGTGATGCTAGCTTGTTGATGGCGTATAACTTTGCTTTCATGGAAGGGAAGTATAATGGGAGCAATCTCAGCGTCCTGGGGCGCAACACGGTGTTTTCACCGGTGAGGGAAATGCCGATCGTTGGTGGGAGCGGCGTTTTCAGGTTGGCTCGTGGATATGCTGAAGCAAGGACACACACGTTTGATCCCAAGACTGGGAATGCGGTTGTGGAATATGATGTCTACGTTTTCCATTATTAAAGGATGAGTTTGTTTGCTCTTTACTTGTGCTTTTCTTTTCTTTTTTTTTTCATCTGCCCTAAGTTTTGCATTTTTTGGATAACATTAATGCATGTTAATAAAAGTTACAAGCGTTTGTGGCTGGTTAAAATATAATTACTTTGTTTTAAATGAAAGTAAAAACCGAATTAATTTATCAATTTATTTAGCTTATATTGGGTTTGGACTCAACCCAAAACTTCTTCTATATATTACTGTTATGCTTTAGCTTTTGTATCGCTGCTCAGCCCAATACATTAAGTTATGTGCCCCAGTCTAGACAGTTACCCCCAATTTAAACATAACAACATGAATGAATTTAGAACAAATTTTAAAAGATTACCAATTAAAAGAACTAAAATTTTAATTAATGAATGAAAATTAAATATTTCATTAATTTTGACAAGGATCCAAGTGAACTAAGTTTATTTTAATTTGATTTTAAAAATTATTTAAATCTATCTAATGATTCGATTTCAAGTGATCAACGCACAAATACACCTTAAACTCGTCTGTAAAGCTGGTCATTCCAAGCATACGTTTAATTCAAACCAAATTAATAGTTCTCTTATATTAATATAAATATAAATATAAACAAAAAAAATCTTTTCGTAATGATTGAAAAACATAAATAAAAAAAGATTGCTTTTACATTTGCTTGGAAGTTCAACCTTGATTTTTGTTTTTCTCTTTATTATTAGAATTTTTCTTAAAAAACTATTATGTGTCTTAGACACAATAAAATTAAAAGGTATAATACTTTAAAAAGTCTCTAAATTATTCAAAAAAAATTCAAATAAATCATTATTTTTCTACTACATTTAATCAAATCTCTATACTTTTAATTTATATCAAATCAAAAATTTATTATTAATGATTAACTAATTATCATTAGCTATAATACCACTTGTTATTTCATACTCACATGACGCTGACGTTGCATTGATGTAAACAAATAACACATGACCATATCTAAGTCACTTATTAGTTATAAATTTTTATTTGGTTTAAAAGAAAAGTATAAGACTTTATTAAAAATAATAAAAGTATAAAGATTTATTCAAAATTTTTTAAATAATTTTTATGTATTTTTAAATATTATAGGATTTATTTTGTATAAAGGCCTTCATGTATTTATTTTGTAATTCCTTTGTGAGCGCCTTCTTGTGCTCTGTGTTGATAGTTACTTTATAGGGAAGGACTCCTGGAACCAGTGGAAGAGGTTATGTTTACCTCTTTTCGATTTAAGTTTGCTTTTTGGGACCAAAAAGAGTTGAGGTTCTTGTTATTTTCCATTGGAGTTTTTTGCGGCTTTTGTATAGAAAGGGATATACTCTTATGATTTTCTTACTAAGAGTTTCTTTGGCCTAGTCTTTTTTAGCTTAAAAGCTATTTTGAAATTTTTATAAAAAATAATAACTTTTAAATTGAGCCAAAGCTATTTAGTAACCTATTTAGCAAAATAAATTATATAAATTCTAATTTTGATTAAAATTGTCAGATATTTATGCCATCTTCAATCATCCAATAAATCAAAACGGAATAAATTTGCTTCAAGCTTATATAGGATTTCAGATGTTAAAATTAAAAAAATTCATACAAAAATAAAACAACTCTCAAACTTTTTATATTAATAATAGTATTAGATTTTTATTGATCAAGTAAGCAATCGGACTATCATGCTTCAATTCCTTAAGAAAGAAGAGAAAAGAGAAATGATGTATTTGCCATTAAAATCATTTTTGATGAAGAAAAGAGAAAATCTTTAAATAGTACCTGAATCTATATTTGAATTTTGAGTTTTCTTTTCTCTTAATCTTTATAAGAATAAAAAAATCTTAGATTTTACTATTATGTTGCTGAGTATTATTTTTTTTTCTTTTTTTTTTTTAGTAATTTTTGTAGAAAAAGATAGAGAAGAGGGAAATTGCTATTTGTATTGGAGAAAGATGATTCGCAAAGAGAGGGAGAGGAGAGAAAGATAGATTGAGAAATATGGATATTTTCTGAAAAGCTGATGTGTTTTTGAAAATAGAGATAAGAAAGTTCTTCTCGGAAGCTTTTCTTTAAACTTTTTTTTTAATTTTATTCTTTTAAAAAACTTTTTTGAAAAGAAAATTTTTTTAAGAGAATTTTAAAATCTTGTTTAACTTGACTTCTATTTTGAAAAAGTAGATAAATTGAAAAAAAATCCAACCAAACAAGCACTCAATATATATATCTACATCTTTAAAAAAAAAATTATGTCAATTTCAAAATTCTCTAATAACAAATAGTAAAAAAAAAAAGTGAAAGCACACATGCTTATCTTTGAAAATAAAATATTTATTCACCTATTATAACAATCCAACCATGGCTGCAAGTTTAAATTCCAGAAGGCTCTGTTTCCAATCATAGCCACTATGCTCACAAAGCAAAGCTCTATCTTCTTCCTTGTTCTTTCCTCCATCATTTCCTTCTCATCCATTGTTATCCGTCATCAATCTGATGAGTTTTTCTCAAGATATATATCCCCATTATCAATAGGGCATAAGCGAGAGAAACTATCCCACCTTCACTTCTACTTCCATGACACAGTATTTGGCAAAAATGCTACTGTTGTCTGCATTGCTGAGGCACCCTCAATCAACAGTTCTTCATCGTTCGTCAGAGCTGTGAAAATGTAGAAAATATTTAAGATCTAAGTAAAGAATTAAATTGTTTGATCAAAAAATAAAAAATTATATAAGAGGTTGTTTATAATAGCTAACTAAATCTAAACCTATTTTGTGTGTAAGTAAAGTAATTATAATAACCAAGTAAACCTAAACCTACTTGATGTACAAATAAAGAAAATAGTAAATAAGGAAGTATTCTAACCTTAGACTTGCTTGAAGTACAAGCAAAGTAAAAAGAAAATAAGAAAATATTCTCCCTAAAATATTCCTAAAAATTAATAATTACAGCTCATGTTGACATTGTCCTTCAAGTTGGAGCATAGATATCAATCATGCTCAATTTGTCAATTATACCATGGAACACTTTCCTTGAAACTGCCTTTGTGAAAATATCAGCTAACTGACTTTCAGATTCGACAAATCGAAATTGTATAATTTTTTGATCGAGGTTCTCCTTGATGAAATGTCGATCAATTTCAACATGCTTGGTTCATGTTGTATAGGATTTTGTGCAATTTCAATAGCTACCTTATTATCACAATAAAGATTCATGGGTTTTGCATATTTAATTTCCAACTTTTTAAGAATACTCATAATCCACAATAATTCGCATACACCATAAGGCATACCTCAAAATTCAGCTTCTACACTTGATCTTGCCACAACCTTATGCTTCTTACTTTTCCAATTGACAAGATTACCTTCCACAAAAATAAAATAACCAGATGTGGATCATAGTTTGTTTACCATCTCTAGTCATAGTTTGTTTCAAATCTCATAATTTAGTATGAATTAAACTTAACAATTCAGATTCTTTATTTACTAAAACATAAGTTTTTTTTATCAATTTCGTTTCAACACATATTACACATTTAGTAAAGCATGCATTTTTAATGCCAGAAATTAAACCTAATGGTTGCATTTTTTAATATAAAGAATGCTAACATCTCCTAATTTACCATGCCATAAATCAATAGAGTCAATCAAGTAAATTGAAGAACTAGCATTTACATTTAAGCTATTAAAAATGTTAACTACAAAATGTTCTTGATTACAATATACCTTGCCCACAAAGATATTATTTTTTGTCATTAGAAACTTGTCAGATTCAAAAGACATTTTTACCCTAACTTTGCCTAGTAGAGCCACAGAAACCAAGTTTGCCCTTATATTAAGAACATGCAAAACATCATTAAGAG